AAAGTACATGGGGCTCTGGCAGAGCGCCGTCCAGGCGGCAAGGTCATTGATACGCGCACCAGTGACCTGATGGAACTTGCCCCCATCGAGATAGAACGTAATGCTCTGCTGTTTCCAGTCGTTGCTTCGGCGATCAAACTCAACACGCCAGGTGTGATAGCCATTGTTAGACACCCCAACGGGGCTCCCGATACCCCCGGGCTCGTTGCAGATACCGCCGGGATCTTTCTGGCAATGAACGGTGCCATGCCCAATCGCCTGGCCATTTACTTGCTCCATGAGATCGATCTCTCCGCACGCGGGCCAGCTGCCACCGGTCCTAAGAGAATTCCCCAGCATCCACCAGGCCGGCCACATGCCCTTCTTTGCGCCCTGGTCGTTGGAGCCGAATCGCAGAGCGGCTTCGACGCGGGTGATCTTGCCGACCGTGGGGGTGAAGACGTACTTGCTCTCGATGCGGCCGGATGTCCATCCACCACGGGTGCTACCGTCCCGCAGGGGCGCAATCTGAAGAGAGTTGGCGCCGCTGAGCTGGACGTTGCGCGTACTGGCAGAGTAAGTCTCCAGCTCGCCGTTTACACCGAGGTTGCCGGTGATGATGTTCCAGTTGCGTGCGTTGGGGGAAGTGCCTCGTGCGCCGGAGAAGTCGTCTTGCCAGCGGAGGCTGAAGCCAGGATAGCCAGGGGCACCGGCTTGGACCGAGGTCGCAAAGGCCAGTAGTACACTGGATAGGATATGGTGGTTGACCATTGCGATGAAGGGTTGGGGGTGGTTTTTTGTTTTTTTGCTTGGGCTGTGGAGACGACGTCAAGCCGGATAAGGAGTGTAGTAGGAGCTGGCGAGAAGCACAAGTTCGAAGGAGGGTGATATACACACACACACGCAAAGACTTTCTATAAGCTTGAGGAAATGAAACCACAAAAGATGCGAATGAGAGAGAACTGGTGATGGACTGTCCAGTGATGGGGGCATGATCAACTCGTTATATACTCGGGAGCTCAAGACTCAAGGACGACAGTAGCACCAAGCTATCCGCCCAAGTGTCATTGTATCAGATGGAAAATGTTGGGGAACTCGGCCAAGTGTCCCCATAGTACCAGATACTAGGCTTGTAAAAAGCCAAGGGCTCAAGATACCACAACTGACAAGAAGACAAGGGGGAGGGGTGGCATCCCCGAGCTGTGTAAGGAGGGCATACAACATCCATCTCAAGTGACCACGACAAGTCAGCCTGGACTGCCATGGGACAGAAAGGCCATGAACAGCACTAGTCTAGCACCAAGGCGGGAAGGAAGACACATGGAGACGCCCAATAGAGCTGCTGACACCTGACTGAGAGAGCATCCTATATGTGCAAGGGAAGAAGATAAAAGTCCGGCGAGGGAAGGGTGCTTCGCGGAGTCACTCACGGTTTGTGCAGGGGGAATAGCCGGTGCGCACTGCGGAATGAAAAAGGCATGAAACTTGAGAATCTACGGAGTATGTACATATATACTGCTAATGTCCGACTGGGACGATCGCACAGACAGTCAGTAGTTGGTGGTGCCACAGCAGAAAGAGGAAAGGCTTCCATGTGTCGCGCGAAAGGTTTAAACTGTCATATCAATATGTATCAATGCGGGAAGGAGACCGGTTTGACGCTACCCGTCCCCTTCCCCCCCCGGGCACCAACGCGTCACGGGCTTCATAGTCTTCAATGTGTATCTGCATCCTTGTTCCAGAATGACCCGTCCTCTACCCGAACTCGACGGGACGGGGAGGAATGACACGCAGAGATTTGAAAGTAAGACTCTCGAGTCGTCGCTGGATGATATTGATAATACTGAAAACGGTCTGACGGATCGATGCCGTTCTCCGTCCTCGAGGAGTCGAGACTCAACGGGCCGAATTACAAACACACGGTAACGGTACACGTGGCTGGCATTATTGCAAAAAAGAGCCACCAAGATGACTAGTTCACTTAGGTCCTCTTCGGCGGATTTATCGTCTGGGGAAAGGAAAGAGGATGGAGAGAGGAAACCGAGGGATCGGACGTCAGTACAGGAGTAGCCTAGTGCAGGAACGGATTAGTCAGGTGAAAGAAGAAGGGGGGGGGGGGGGGGGGGGGGTCGCGCTTCCCGGTCCGTTCTTATTTTGGTCCCCTTTTTTTTTTTCCTTTTTTTGTAAACTTGCCTAAAAGCTTTCCATCAGGATTCAAGACTCGGGAGAGACGCCCAGCGCCAATGGGTTGGTTTGATTAGACAAGACTTGCGCTTGCTCAGTAGCATTCAAACTGTGGTACATGCATTGGTAGGTGCTCCTTTTCTGTATGTAAAACCCTCCCCCTCCCCTGCTTTTCGGCCCGCCGCTTGTTCAACCAGCATCGTCGTCGGGTTTAACAAGGTACCTAATGCCAACCCAAACTGCATTCGGCAAGGAAAGGGGGGTGGATTCCTGTCTAGTTCCTTGAGCATTGGAGCCGCACAGAGAAGAAGAGGGTGGCGGGCTGGCTGCAGCTTGCATCCTGAGAGATCCCACGATCGAGGGAAAATGGCAGAAACCCCCCTGGCAGAATTGCCCGTCTTGGCTGCAGCCGCCGAGATGGCAAGAATGGAGCGAAGAATGTGTGAAGATGGGAGAAACTGATGAAGATGCAGGTAGGTAGGTAGATGAAACACCATCGATGTGATATCAAATTCGGCAATCAGCCATCAGTGATCACCGACATCCAGCACGGAAGTTGGAACAAAAAGCCAAAGGCAACCACAAGGAAGTTTCAAGCCATACAACCGAAAAGTGAGGCATCACATCTACAATCACGGGCGTGGCGTCCCCCCCTGGATCAAGAATAGGAAGGAGAAATGTAAAAAGGCCACCAAAAAAAAAAAAAAAGAGTAACAAGACCAACAGAGTCATGTGCGTTCGGCCCAGCGCCTACCGGTACCTATGTCGAAGAAGTCGGGCGCGTGAATCCTCCAGATGTGAGCCCCCTGCACCCTTCAAAAAAAAAAACTGTTGACCGCGCGTGCGCGTCACGATGCTCATGCAATGTGACGAGACGGCCATCAACTGAATTATGGTGTGTGTGCCTTTTGCAACAAAAAGGCTAGCTAGGTACCTAGACAACATGACCCCAGACCCCAGACCCGCTCCGGCGAAGGTTGAGGGAGCACCCGACCGAAAGGCGCTTGTCGGCTTACAGCTTAGGGTTCGTGGCACAACGATGGAAATGGGAAATGGGAAATGGCAGATTCCTTCGCGTACCTAATCCGTACCCATTTGCTGCGGCTTGCATAAAAGGAAATCTTAAATTCCTTCTTGCAACAGCAATCGGCCCTGTCATCAGTGATCACTGATAACTCGTGACCACTGATAACTCGTGACCACTGATAACAGACTCCCTTCGACAGATGGGGATTCATTCTTCCTGTTCATCCTCTCTTGACTCGTCTCGATCTTCGGGTTCGACTGACTCTGGAACTTCCGGAGAAGGGGGGGGTGGGCGGCCGGGCGGCGGCAGGCGACGGGTAAAAATGCGAACTAGAATTCCAATATGTACTCCGTACATAGAAGCAAGACGGCGCACGTGACTGCTGTCTTCTCGCGGATTCATGATTCGCTTTTTTTTTTTTTTTTTTTTTTTTTTACCCGATCTCGGATCTGCCAAGCCGTCGAAAACAAGGCAAGAAGAAAATACATATACATATACAATGTACTATAAGACAGGACATCTGAGATATATGCAGGTGTCCATGCGGCTGGATACAATATGTCCGTGTAGTTTGCCTCTGAAACCCCCTCGCGAGAACGCATTCGGCGCGGCCTGTCATTGATTTCGTTTCGTGTCTTGTCATTTTGATATATAGTTTCCTGATCCATATGTAGGTATGTATTCGAGTTTTCTGGAGTCCAAACTTCTCATCTTCTTCCCTGGCGTCGACTCGACAGCATTTAGAGAGTTCGCCGCTCATGCGGTGCGCGATGCTGGATGCGATGCACATGTTTGGTGCAAGAGCCTCGGCAACATGCAGCAAAGGCTGAAACCGTGACAAGTCCCAACCTCTTGGAGTCTTGGGGCTGCTTCCTACATGTGATCTTGAGCCCAACCAAGGCAGCTTGCATCGTTTATCAAAGTCAGCCCTCCCAACTTCCCGCACGCCTTCGCACGCCCACAGCAACGCCCAAACCCGCCCAGACAGTCCTTATCCCAGACGCCATTCATGATTGATCATGGATCTTGGGACCACCCCCCTCGCCTCAAACAAGCCAAGTGTTCCATCTTCTCGGCGAGAACCATCAGACCTTGTATGCAAGTCTGGGGCAACTGCCAAGAGCCCATCGGCAACAAATTATAATCATGATGTGAGCATGGAGCAAGGCATAAATCGATAAATGTCATCCTTTGTGGGGCCTTTCATAACCCTCATCCTAAACAATAAAATAGATGTGAAACGAGCTCTCACGTAATTCATGGGCTGGCGATGGATGCGTCTGCCCGCCCACCCGCCCTCATGGACCGTCAGCTTGGAAATAACATCGGTTAGATCGTAAAGCCCGGATCCCGATGGGGCACGTCACCTGAGCAGTAACACCGACCTGCGCCGGCTTGCGGCTCCAGTTCCGGCAAAGTACATACCTACCCTACATACAAACGTGCAAGTTGCTCGTTATCGCTACTAAAATACATGACAACAACAACAATCGTTATCGCTACTACCTAGCTAGGTAGTACATACGCAGATGCAGGCCTGACTCGTCTAATGTCCATGTCTTACCAACGACTCGAGGAGAAGGCGGCAAGAAAGAAGTCACCTCTACAGAGTCAATGTAGCACAGTGTCGCCTCTGTTTCAAGTTACAGTGACGAAAAGTATGATGGATGCACAATTCCGCGGGACATAAGCACACAGGTCTAGTCATCTAGCACAATGCAGTAACAGAGCCGGCGAAGAGAAAAAGTGAAAGAAAGGGCAAAAAAAAGTCACTGGCAAAAACATGGGAGTGTCCAAGACTGCGAAAAAATGGACAGACAGGGAATCGAACCCCGGACCACTCCCAAATACTATGCTAAGGGAGTATTATACCACTAAACCATCCGCCCGATCCAGTTGATAAGCATGGTGAGCTTATTTTGTACTACAAGGTCTTATCATCTTTGCTTGAGTGAAGCAGGCAACGCAAACTCTAACTCAGAAGCTCATGTTGATTGGATCCCGCGCTCCATTGTGTTTTTGCAGGCCTGAAGCTCCGAATGTTTGAAATCGCGTTGCTGTTCATTGCCTCCATCCATTACAAAGTTCGCAGGCTGTCGCACGTCACATTGACGCGGCGCCGTGGTTGCCGCTGGCTGCCGATCCTGCTGCCGGTATTCATTGGTAGAGAGGTCCGAAACATAGAAACGCGATCTCGAGTCATCGTCGCCGTCTCGTGCCCGTCTCGTGCCTGTTCGCGGCCATGTCTGAAGACGACGCCGAACTCGGCCTCGATAGTCAATCGACTCCTCGTATCGATCGCGATCGCCGGGCTCCGCGCTTCAGCTGGACTCCCGCATACGAGACGACTTTTTTCCGCAGCCTCTGCGCCAGTGTCCAGCTCGGGTTGCGCGAGAACAGCAGCTTCAAGACCGAGGCCTGGGAGCGCGCCGCGAAGGCTCTGGAGGAGTGTCACTCGGCGTTTCCTACAAAAAGCCACCTCATCAACAAGAGCGACAATGCGCGAAAACGATTCCGGCTCTGGCGTGGTCTGCGCGAGGACCCAGACTTTGTGTACAATTCTGCCACCAAGACGGTAACTGCATCGGAAGCTGCCTGGAAGGCGCATATAGAGGTGAGTAAGAGCAGCGTTGCCGTGGACGTGTCCTGTAGGGGTTGAGAACATGACACGCAAGAGAGTGAATGGGTCCCAAAAAACCAGGGAAAAGAAGAAGAAATGAGTCTGGAAAATAAAGCTAGAGGATGCTGACGCCGATATACAGAAAGAGCCTCTTTCGAGAGCCCTCCGGGGTCGTCCATTTGATCACGAAGAATACATGGAGATACTGTATCCCGATGTGGTTGGGTCGGGTGGTGCCCCAAAACGGGTCAAGAGAAGGCGGAGGAGGACCGAAGGAATGGCGAGGGACGATTCGGAGATGCCAGAACCTGACGTCTTGCAATTACAAACCGAGCATGCGACTAGCCAGAACAGCCCCCGTCTCATGCGATCGTCATCCGGTCTGAGGCAGGCCACCTTCAACAGAACCGCAGGACTACGCCTCATGCCGACGACGACGGCACTTGCACGTCGAGCTGCACCATCTTCGGATAAGAGGCAACGCATCTCCACTGCTGGTGACTCGGTCGCCCGGATTTCCGCATCGTCGAGCAACATACTCTCCGACACGGCAATGACCCACGCGCCCACCTGGTGCGAGTTGGCACTGGAGCAGTTCTTCAGTGACTTTGCGGATGAGAGCATGGAGCTGCAGATCAAGATTGCTGAGAATGTCTTGATTCACGAGAACAAGGCGATGATTTTCTGCAAGATGCCCCGGCGTCTTCGGGAGCATTGGGTAAAGGAGCTCGACGAAGGATTCCAACAAAACTCGCCATGATTACCCCTACTTCAGTCCCACTAGAAGACCTACAGCAATGGGGCTTTCCCCATGTCGTGCTTTATCGGTTCTTCCTCTTCAAGAATGGCGACGCATTGATCAACCGATTGGCAAGCTCCCACGTGAGGGTACGGTGCCCTCAATTACAGACGAGTGATATAGAATTCGTGATACCCGCACCTTTATGGCGTTTTTATTAATATGGGAGTTTGACGATTGCTGTTTTCAAGGAGGATCGTGTTTTTTTGACCTTTCTAGCTACATAATCTCTCTCCTCTGCCTCTTGCATGAGCTAGACATGTGTCATGTATTAATTCAGCGCACACTTTTTCAATTCCAATCTACTGGATAGCTTTGGAATTAAACGAATGAAGAGTGAAAAGAGAAGAAATAAAGAAAGCTGTGACGATTATTTGCTTGGGTTCTTTGACACGTGTCGGCCGTTGACAGTTTTACATCCCATCTTCTAGGGGTAGGAGATTCCTAGAAACATGACGCTCGAAGAAGTTGAAGGGAGACAGAAACACACCCTGCTGGTGCATTTGCTATTGGCCCATCTGTCAGGAGACCGAGACTCTACCAATCACATTGTTCATACGGCAACTATCATTGCATTTTGCCCATGGTGGCGCGCCATCTGCGTGCGTGTCTTTTCACACCTCCACGCGTTTCACATGCACGTTCCAGGACATGCCAGCTCGGAGATTTCGCGACAGGCATTTATGATTTGGCCAATGGCAACTCGGTGACCCATAAGTTCCCTGGCCAAAACCTGCCCAGTCACGTCATCCATCGACTAGCTTTTACGGCACGCCGCCATCCCTGTACCAAGCGACAATCAACATGAACTGGGCCAAACCCATCACCTGGAGGCTGGCACCCACCGCTGTTTCCCTTTTCAACCCACACCTACTTCTCACGTCACAGCAACAATCAGGCCGAAGCTCTCCTCAGACGAAAACAAATTGAATCAAAAATAATCAGATCATTCTTCACACAAACATCCTCTTCCTTTGAATCAGTAAGTCGTCCCGGTCTTCAACCTGCTAGTAGCCTGTCAAGGCCACCACACACACACACACACACACACACACACACATACAGGAGCACCTGGACACTGACCCTTCCGCGCGATGTAGTGTCATACGCCGACGTAGCCGCCAGTGGCCCCAAGCAGACCCCCGAGGAGGTAAGCACAGTACCGGATCAACACGTCGCTTTGATTAGAAAACCGGGAACCCGGCCCCGCGACGAAATCCCTCGTGACAACCAGACACTGACACCAAACCCCCAACCCCCCAGGCCGCTGCTCCCCAGCCCGTCGAACTCCTCAACACCGAATCCGTAGCCACGGCCTCCCTCACAGACGTCGACATTCCAAGCGTCCACACCGTGCCCTCCGACTTCTCCGAGCAGCCCATCCAGACCGAAACCCAAGCCAACCGCCTGGACATTGAAGCCAAAGCCAACGCCGAAGCCGACGCCGAAGCCGACGCCGAAGCCGCCAAAACCAAGGCCAAGGCCAAGGTCCAGAACGCCAAGAAGCAGACCGAGAAGAAGGCCCGCGAGACGGACTCGTGGCTCGTACAGCAATTCTCTGGCCTTTCGGACGGTAGTGCCAGTGCTCTGGCTGTGACGAACTTGGCTGCTATTATCGGCGTGAGCTCCTACCTGGGCTACAAGGCATGGGGTCTCTATGAGCGGGGTAATTTGAGCTGGAAAACTGCGGGGGTTGGCGTAGGGATTTTGGCAGGGGTTGGGGCCGCGGAGGCGGTTTTGGGGCGATATTTGTATAAGGGGAAGAAGGGGAGCTGTTAGGGGGTTGAGTGTACGTGTTCTAGAAGTTGGAACGCACGTGGCGCGAGAAGGGGAGAAGAAGAAGAAGAAGGGGGAGGAAAGAGGGAAAGGGGATGAAAGATTGCGAATGACTTGTTTGGGTTGGCGCGTTGGTTCTTGATATGTATCGCAATGGAATTGGGTGGAATCCTTTTTTGAGTCTTGTTTTGTTGATTGGCTCTCCTTTTTTGATTGAACTCTTCTCTTGACGCTCGATTGCTCAATTGCTCGACTGGGCCAAATTCTCGTGTATCTTTCGTTCAGCGCCGGGCCATGGAGGATGTTGTCTGTATTTGTATCTGGATTTTTCGGGCAGCACGGCCGTCAGTTCTTGGGTGAAGCCTTGTTCGAGAAATGCTCGTGCTACATATGTACATGTGCAGACAATGAGCGCGTTGGGGCGTAGGACTCGTCATATATTTTCATACTTGTTATGTACTATGATTTTGCCGTCTATGGACCAAGGTCCTCTTTGGTACACTTCTACTTACTCGTACAATAAAATACAAAACATGACATCATGCCAAAATAGACAATGGGCGGAAGATACAGTCCTCGCTATTCCATACAATGCCATATCGCCTTGCTCTAAGCTTTTTGCTCCCTTTTCTGGTCCTCCTTTTTTTTCATATCTTGGTGGTGACGGGGAAGGCAGTACCATCAAGAGTCTATTCATGCCTCATCACCGTAATGTCCTTCTACGCATCCTTGTTACCCGCGCCGAACAGCACTTTCTGACGGCTTCGATGCACCGTCATCAGCCACTGACTGTTCCACAACTTTGAGTCCCGATCCCTCCGCGGAAGCTTTGTGCTGCTCAGACGCTTCAGCTTGGTGCTCTTCAGAAGCCTGGCCTTGTACTGCGGAAGGTACGTCGCTCTCAAGTGCCTGGCCTTGTACTGCGGAAGGTGCGTCGCTCTCAAGTGCCTGGCCTTGTACTGCGGAAGGTGCGTCGCTCTCAAGTGCCTGGCCTTGTACTGCGGAAGGTGCGTCGCTGTCAAGTGCCTGGCCTTGTACTGCGGAAGGTGCGTCGCTGTCAAGTGCCTGGCCTTGTACTGGGGAAGGTGCGTCGCTGTCAAGGGCCTGGCCTTGTACTGCGGAAGGTGCGTCGCTCTCAAGTGCCTGGCCTTCGGCAACCTCGTCATCGTCGTCGATCAATTCGGCGCCGTAATGGTCTGGGTATTGGCGGAAACACTCCTGCATGCCTCTGTGATGTGTGTCAGCCTTGAAAAATCGCGTCTTTTGTTTCATCCTTCTTTGGTGGGTTTTTCGGAGAAGAATTGGGCATGCCATACTGGAACTTGTCAATACAGTCCATGCCCTTGGGCTCATCGGTGGAGTAGACGAAGCAGCTAAACGCCGCCTTGAACTCCTCTCCGCAGGGCCCGTGAGCCATTCCGCCAAGGCAGGGACAATCCCAGTTGATTTCACCAGTCTCGGGGTTGAACGCAGCTTCTCGAGGGGCATCCTCCTCCAGGTCTTCCTCCGACGAAGCAGTAGCCGCATCGGTTTGCGCCTCTGTACTGGGCTGCGATTCCAGGGTCGCGGACTCGGCCACTCTAGTCTCGGAATCCGTGTTCAGGTCTTTCGTCTTGGTTTCCAGCTCCTTCCGTTGCTTGTCGACGACCGCCTCGACGGTAGGAGTTCCAGATTCGGCAAACGATGAGGGCGCA